TACTCAGCAGACTGAGGCAGGAGGATTGTTCAAGTCCAGCGTGGGTTCCAGAGTGAGACCCTGTCTTGAAAAACAATTTTTTTTTTTAATAAAAAAGAAAGATCCATCAAAGCCAAGCAGAGACACAGAAAATACCTGGCCTGCACTCCTCTGAAATTCCAAAGTCATGAAAGACACGAGAAAAGGTGGGAACTGATCCAGATGGAAGAGAAATGAGAGCTGAGAATTAAAATGCGAAGCATGCTTCTTTCTGCACAGACTCTGGCCAGAAAAACAAGGGTTCCTGTAAAGACGTTCACTGAAGTAACTGGCATCATCTGAGTGAGTGTATGCTGAGCAGGATTAGAGGGAATGGTAATGTATTCATTTTATAGTTGCACTGAGGCGAAAGTGTATCTCCTAGAAAACACACACTAACCTACTTAGGGGCTGGTGGCCATGATATCTGCAACTCATTCTCAGATGTCTCAAGAAAAGTATACACCAAAAGAGGGAAGAACAGAGAGAGGAGAATCAAAGTGTAAAGAAGGTAAAATGTTCACACCTGGGGCTGGGGGATGGCTCAGTTGGTAAAGTGTTTACTGTGCAAGCATAAGGCCCTGAGTTCAACTCCCAGAACTCACATAAAAACTGGGTTGGTAGTGAATGGGTTTCAGGGTTTGTTTGGTTTTTTTCTTATTTATTTGTTTTGGGGTTTTAGGGGATTGTTCTTTGTTTTTACCTCTCAGCCGCAGTTTTCCCTCCCTCCTCTCCTCCCATCCCCTCCTCTCACTCACCCCACCCACCCACTCCTCCTCTGTTTCTATTCAGAAATGGGTAGTGAATGTTTTTAATCCCAGCACTGGAGAGGCGGAAACAGATCCCTAGGGCTTGCTGGTTGGCCAGTCTAGCCTACTGAGTGAGTGCCAGGCCTTGGCAAGTGAGAGGTCCAGTCTCAAAAAAAAATAAAAAATAAAAAACTTTTTAAAAATGGACAGCTCCTGAGGAAAAACACTAACACTAAAGGTCAAACTCTGGTTTCTACATACACATGAACAAGGCAAGCATATACTCATCCATATGTACTCACACACACACACACACACACACACACACACACACACACACACACACACAGGGGGGAGAGAAAGAGGAAGAGGGGGTAAATAAGTATCCCAAAACCCCATCTGTGAGCTTCACATCTGTATATGCTCACTCTGTTCACTCAGCTCAATGGACAGGAAATATATCTGACTGGAGTAATTAACTATCGAGGTAAAATGAGCCAAGGAGAGAATAGAAGAAAACAAATAAACAACAAAGACAACAGGAAGAGAAATACAAGAGCTGGGTAACTGTTCCGGGAAAGATATGGTAATGGAGTAAGAGGCACAGGAAAGGTTGAAATTGTGTTACTGTTCAGCAACATGGATGAAACTGGAAGACATTTTGCTAAGTATAGCCCAGAAGGACAAACACAACATGTTCGCATCTCAGAAGATAGTAGACCAGTGATCACTGTTAGCTAAGAAGCAGAGGGGGAGCAGGAATGGGGGAAGACGGGGAAACGGGGGCTTAAATGTAGTTTGATGGGAGGAATAAGCGTTGACACTCTCCAGCATCGTAGGTAGAGTGGAGTTTACAGCAACCTGTTAAGTATTTTGTAGGGAGCTAGAAGAAAGGAGTCTGAAGGCCCCAGACACAATGAAATGATAAGGAGATGGAAATTCTAATTACCCTAATTTGGTCATTACACATTGTATGCATGTACTGAATAAATATGTAGATTGTTCCTCATAAATATGTATAATTATATGTCAACTTGAAAGAAAAATTAAATTGGAAGACAAAACAGGAATAATAAAAGTAGGAGGGTTTTTGTTGCTGCTGTTGTTGTTGTTGTTGTTAATGAGCAGGAGAGACCTTCACTAGATATGTTCCTGCTCCTGGATTCCTCAACCTCTAGAACTAAATAAACCTGTATTGGTTATAAATTACCCAGTTTGCAGTACTCTGTTATAGCAACTGAAAGCAAAGTAAGATACAAGGTCTGTCAATGTTTTTCCCCATGGAGTTAAGCTCCAGGCACCCACTGTGCAAGCTGAACTAATAACTCATCCCTTGCTTCCTGCTTCTCTCTCTCTTTGAATCATTTTCCTCTTCATCTGCTGGTCTTCCTAGCACCTCCCAATAAACTGTTTGCCCTCTAACCCTCCGCCCAAGAACTTGCTTGTGCCTTTGAGGTGGGACTTCACACTCAGACAGATGGGTAGTGAGCAAACAACTTCCCTCCAGTATTATGCACACCATTCGTGTGTATATACACACACACACACACTCAGACCCAGAGGAGGGTCTTCTGTGCTCCCACCCACATAAGCCAATATTTCTCTGTCCCAGTATCTAAGGGGTCCCAGCTCTGCGGACTCCAAAGGGGCTCAAATGTGCAGCCTCACTATTTATTTCACAGGATGCAGAATCCACTTTTGTTTTATCTCTTTCCAGACAGTTGCTTTGTTTTAATGGACTGCTCTTCCGCCTGTGCATAATTCTTCCCTCAATTAAATTCTCTTCTCGGCTCAGCATAACACACACTGTGCTGTCAGCTCACAACTTTTACATCCTTCCTCGTCCTGTTTATGCAAAGGTTTAATTAACTGTGAATTGCTATGGAGGCAGCAGGGACAAGTCCACCCCCAGGTGGCTGTGTGGCACAGTCCTGAGGGGAAGGTAGAAGCAGGGTGCTGTGAGGAAAAACCAGAAGTTGAGATGAGATCATAAAGGTCTTAAACTTCTCATGACGACTTCTGTTCGTTCCCTCAGTATGTATTTATTAAGTCATGCTTCTGTGCTTGCCATCATTCTAAGTGTAGGAGGAGTGAGAGGCACAAGCCTTGCCCTCACAGGACTTACCATCTACCACAGGAGGCTATCTCAAATCCCATCTCAAAGGAATCACAAGTGAGACAGGAACTTGGGAGGAGTGGCTTGGCTGGACCTCTCTGGCTCAGGATGTCTTATAGGATTCCAGTTCAATCAGGGCTATCTGGAGCTGTAGGATCGGCTGGAGTGATGGAGCCACTTCATTTCTCCTTCTTTTCTCTGTGTAGCTTTGGAGCCTGTCCTGGAACTCTCTCTGTAGACTACACTGGCCTCAAACTCACAGAGATCCTCCTGCCTCTGCCTCCCAAGTGCTGGGATTAAAGGCATATGCCACCACTACCTGGCTTGGTGGAGCCACCTCTAAGGTGGCTCATTCACCATTCATGTAGCTGGTGAGTCCATGCTGGCTATTCATAGGAGACACATTTAATGTGAGCTTTTCTTTTAGGTGAGTGCCTTCCCCACATGGCAACTGGCATCCCCTGGAGTAACACTGTTTTACCTTTTCATTGCTACAATAAATCTCTGAGATAATCAACATACATTTATTTAGGCACATTTTTGGAAATTTCAGTCTATAGTTGGTTGACCTCATTGCTTTGCAGCTTCTGGTAGGGAGACAGGGTCCTGGACATAGTTGCTATGGTTGAACATTAAGCCCATGGGTTTGAACACTTGGTCCCCAGCTGGTGGCCCTAATTTGGAAGGTTTAGAGTGGTTCTCAACCTGTGTCATGACCCCTTTGGGGTCCCATATCAGATATCCTATATATCAGATATTTACCTTATACTTCGTAACAGTAGCAAAATTATAGTTATGAAGTAGCAATGAAAATAGTTTTATGGTTGGAGGTCACCACAACTGGAGGAACTGTATTAAAGGGTCGAAGAACTAGGAAGGTTGAGAATCACTGGTTTAGAATCTTCAGGGCATAGAAACCAAATGGAGGACGTGAGTCCCTGGCGGGATGGACCTTCAAATTAATAGCTTTGTCCCATCTCTGTGTCTGTTCTTCACTATCCCAGCCAGTGTGCTTCACCCAGGTGTAGGCCAGCTCTTGCCAGGCCATTGTCATGATGCCTTCCCTGTCATAATTGACTGTATCACCTCCAACCGTGATGTAAAACAGACCGGCCCTCCTATCATTTGCTTCTTGTCAACACAATGACAAGAAAGAACTAATACAGGACAGTGCAAACTGCTCACCTTACACCAGGAAGTGAAACAGGGGTGGGGGTGGGGCTAAGGTCCACTTCAATGATGTGCCTCCGGTAACCTAAAGACCTCACACTAGGCCCCACATCATAGCGTCCATCACCTTTCAATAGGGCCAAGCTGGAGACCAAGCTTTAACACATGGGCCTATGGGAGACAATTAAACTCTAATCTACGACAAGTTCCCTTTATGACCTAGCCTTAGGAGTCATATATTCTTATCAGTATTAGTCAACACAGGAGGAGATTACACAGTGGTGTGACTACTAGTAGACCAAAATATCATGGAGATGATTATGGAAGCTGTCTACCACTAAAAAAAGTAAACAAATGAGGCTACCCACTGTGATCAATGCTGTTATCAAAACAGAGATGATGGTAGTGACTGACAGGAAATAGGCTGCATAGTCAAGTTAATCAAGGAAGATTTCTTTTTAACTGAAGCCAACTTAGTTCTCTAGCCCTTTGGATGCTCAGCATCTTTATCTGTAATAGGGAAGCAATCATCACTCTTAGCCCATGGACTAGTTGAGGCTCAGAGGGAATGAGAAGTATAAAACTTCAATTTGTTATCTTGTTTTCTGCATTTGAGGAAACCACACATCTTTGCCTCTGAAGAACCAGTGCTTTAACCAGGACAAATGGGTAGGTAGCCCCAGGACTGCCAGCTTCTAGAAAAGTCCTAAAGCCATGTTGGCAGAGATCGAAGCTACTGGACCCAATGGATCTACACATCCAGAGAAAACAATCTTAATGGTTCTTCAACTTCCAGCCAAGAAAACACACTTGATTGAAAAGTAGTTGTCAGGGTGAAGCACTGACAGTGGCAGGTTTGCTCCACCTATGCCCCGGAAGGAGAAGGCATCTTTCACAGAATTTCAGCCCAGCTGGTGTGGACAGAGGAAGAGAATTTTGGAACTCACAATTCTGAGTAGGAAGGAGAAAGTTTGCCGCCAGGCTTTGTCATGCTGACCAGTCCTCTCTCCTAGGCAGGAAATGAGGCAGAATCAACTTCTGGATCTCCATTGCCTTCATTTTACCAACTGCTGCATTCCTTGGACGTCTGAATCATCTTCAACAAAAGAGAGCACTTTGACTATCCACAAAGGTAAAAAGTAAATAAATAAATAAAAGATACAAAATATTTGAGAAAGACATAAAAATGAGCAGCGATTACAGGACTGAAGGAAACAAAAACTGATCACTCTTGTGAAGAAAATGGAAATCATCTCAACAGTCTATTCAAACATTCATCCTCTGAGTGGGATAATAGGGTACATGCAAGTAAACCCAGCACTCTGGAGGCTGAGGCAGGAGAATTGTGAATTTAAGGTCAGTCCAACCTTAGCAAAACCCTGTCTCAACAGAAAGACGGGCTGGAGAGATGGCTCAGTGAGCAAGGTGTTTGAGAGGCCCTGACTCCTCAGACAAAGGGGTGACCCTCTCCCCCTCTCCCCCTCTCTTTCTCTCTCTCACACACACATGGTTTACTCTTGATCTCTCATGGCTCTCTTCCCTACTCCTCTCTCTTTTTCCTTTTCCACTTTGTAGTAAAACTTCAATGAACAGTTCGGCTCTTGGGCTGGAGTTTTGGTTAAGAGCTCTTGTTACTCCTGCAGAGGACCTGGGTTCAATTTCCAGAACCCATACAGTGGCTCACAACCCCCTGTAACTTCAGACACATACATGGTGCTCACACAAACATGCAGCAAAACACCCATACATACAAGGTAATAAAATAAATGAACTTTTTTTTTCAAGTTCTTTTGGTGAGTTCTGTAAATCATTCTAGCAAATATCAAAGGTCAGAGGTCCAGGAAACTCTCAGACAGGTGGCCAGTTGTTACATGTACAGGTGGCCTAGGGGCTCCATTTGTAGCTGGTGTCTGAAGCAGGAAGAGTAAACCCTTAATTTGGGTAAGGCTGTGCCTTAACTTGTGGGAGCCAATGGTAATGCCAGGTGGTAAGTATTAGACTGTATGGCAGTATACATGGTCAGGGGAGAAACGAAATAAAAGCTGGCCATTCTGGTTTGCCAGCGCTGAAGGGTCTGCCAAGATGGGGAGCTTGCAAAGCTAAAAATGGAAAATCACGTGCAAATAGAGCAAAGCAGGCGCCATAGTTAGTGCTTCAAGGTCATAAAGTCAAGGGTAAGACTTTAAAGACCTTGGGACAAAAATACTGAAAGTAGTGAGTGTCTAAAGAAACAGAGTAGATCCTCATTCCAGTAAACCCAAACTACCACCCACTTCTAGTATTTTACATGAGAAATAAACTTTTATCTTGCCGAAGTTACCATTTCTGCTCTATGTAGACAAGCTTCGATGTGGTCTGTTAAGCTGGAGTGCTGAACATAACAGACAAGCATGCGGGCCGGGCCGGGCGGTGGTGGCGCACGCCTTTAATCCCAGCACTCAGGAGGCAGAGCCAGGCGGATCTCTGTGAGTTCGAGGCCAGTCTGGTCTCCAAAGCGAGTTCCAGGAAAGGCGCAAAGCTACACAGAGAAACCCTGCCTCGAAAAAACCAAAAAAAAAAAAAACAAAAACAAAAACAAAAAAACAGACAAGCATGCACATGCCATTGAAACAGTGGCTGGGTGATGGGCAGGGTCAACTTCAGCTACTGCGGGGTTGTGGTTTAGTAATGGGGTTAGGAGGTGGCTCAGTAGGTAAGAGCATTTACTGCAAAAGCATGAAGACGTGAGTTCAAATCCTTGGTACCAATGTAAAAAGCCAGGCATGAACAGGCATGTACCTGCAACCCCAGCACCGGTAGGGAGGTAGGATACAGAAGAGCTGAAGCTTGCAGCCTCCAACCCAGCTCCAGGTTCACTGGGAGACCATGTCTCAAGGGAATAAGGTGGGAATGATAGAGCAGCATCCTGATGTCCTCTTCTGGCCTCTATAAACACAGGAGGCATGCACACTAACACACAAATGTGCATACATCACACAGAGATACACAACACACACAAATACACACATCGTGAAAACAAACTAAAAAATAAAGTTAGTAATCTTTGTTATGCAATGATGAAGCGTTCAGTCAAACCAGAACATGTGTTAACTGGGATTCATTGCTAGGGACTTTGTACATGAAGTAGAGAGGAAATGTTACCATTTCTAACTTTCAGAGAAATCCCAAAGAAGCCATCCAAATTCAGAAAACTGGAAGATGTTAGGTAAATAAGCCCATACATAGACAGACAAATATAGCATGATCTCACTTAAATGTAGAATCATAAAAGTTAGAATTTATATGAGTAGAGACTAGAATAACAGTTACCAGATGCTAGGCAGAGATGTTAGTCGATGATATTAAATTTTAGTCAGAAGAAATTAGTTCAAGGGGGTCTATTCTAAAACTGTGTGACTATAGTTAATAACAATATACTATAGTATTTTAAATTGCTAATATAGATTTTTAACTATCCTTACCAAACCGTGAAAAAAGCAAAGTCTTGAGTGTATTAATTAGCTGGATTTAGTCATGGCACACTGTGTACACATATTAAAATACCACCACGACATACAATTTCTTATTTCTCAAAAACACCTTTAGAAAATTGTTTTAAAACAAAATAGTCATTGTGCTAAGAGATGAAATGAAATATGGGGTCAAAGCACCCTCACCTGTATTTTACCGTCTGAGCTGCCCAGGAAACTCTTCATTTGGGCCTCTCCCAGACTGAAAAGACAGGGCGCTTCTAAAACCCCCAAAATGAAGCTGTCAAGAATGAAGTACCAGACATACATGAGGTAATGCCATGGCCCCAAATCTTTGTCAACACCCTCTTGTAGAGATGTTCTTGCCAGAGAATTGGAGCCAACCTGAACAGGAAGATTCACTTAAGGAAATTGTTTCTCTAACCCATGTCTTTTGCCTCTAATACAACTCATTAACTGCCACTAAGCTGAAAGACAGGGTAATGAGGAAAGCCCCTCGCCCCCTGTGAATGCTAAGGAGACATGTCTGTTCCTAACCAAGAATGACGGCTGCTGAGTCTTCACAGTTGAGTAGACAAGGACCAGCAGGACTGGCTCTAAAAAGTTCTCTACTCACAAGAGAATCTACTTTGCCATCCCACTTTGGGTGTGAAACGGTCAAGAAGGAACACACTGAAAGGTAACACCAGAGACCTCAAGGATGATAGAGGGAAGAGTTGCTCCAGCAAAGAGAGTCAGAGGAGCCTGGATGTGATGGGATCTGGCCCTTGGCACCCCTGGCCTTTGTCCGTCACCTCCTCACTTAGCACACAAAACTGCCACTTCTGGAACTGCCCCTGCTCCACCACTGTGAGGCGGGTACATGAGAGGCAAGTACTGACCTTTGAACATGCTGTCACTGACATGGAAACCACATGTAGAGCAGATGGAGAGGATAGTACATCACCCAGCAGAGCCTAGGTTTCAAACTGGATTCAACAACTGCAAAGAATTTTAAAGCTGTCTCTTTTGGTATATGGCCAGTGGGGTACTGAAAGGCTGCACTGTGGCAGAAGCTGCTAGGAGTCCCCAGGATCCATTGTCCTTTTACTTCCATAGTAATAGAGCCCCTAACTTTAAGCTGAGACGTATGAATCCTGAGGATAAAACTCAACTGTCACTCTCTCCCGTGTGGTTGTTAGTTCTTGCCAATGGGATAAAAGGAGAGGTGATGCATGAAAGTCCTGGGTCATATCTCCAGGGAAGGGAAGCCCTCCTTATCTCCTTCATCCTTCACACAGGCAAAGAGATCAAATGTTCAACACCCAGGCAGGCAAGAACAAGGACCTATAAACAAGAAAATAGAAAGATCTACAGTCTCTATGGCTTTTATATGGGCCAGCCATCATGCCAGCCCTGGGTTTCCTACCCTCTAAATTTTCATGTACCAGTAAAAGCAGACTTTCATCTTATTTTAGGATGCCATTATTTGGGATCTATGCTGCTTATAGCCAACCCTATATAGTATTAAGCAATGTCAGAAATACTAGAAATAAAGAAATTATACATTCATCTTTAAAGCTAGAAAGAAAATGGAAAAAAATAGAAATGAGGAACTAAAAATAAGAAGAAAAAGTTTGAAATATGAAAAAATTTCAACAAGAAGATTTTGTCAAAACTTGACAAGAGTTTTTGACAAAGATAATCAGGTTCTCTAAGACGACTAATTATGCAGACAAACTTACTTAAAATTTTTATCAAGAAAAAGAGATAGACATAAATAATATTCTCATTAGAGTATAATTAAAATACAGCAAAAGTTTGCTCTTTAATCAGAAGAGATTGTTGCAGACAACTTCATGTTGACATAAAACACAATTACAAGAAGAACTTTCCTACAAAAAATATAAATTACCAAAATGGAAGGAAAAAATTGAGAACATAAATTATGAAATATGAAATTGACATAAGGAAAAAAATAAAAGCCTAAATATGCCAACAACTAGTTTTAATTGAATCTTCTGTCAAACATCTCCCCACAGCCCCCCCATGAAAAACACACACCAACTCAGACACTTTGACAATCAAATTTTACCAAATATTAGAGGATCAGACTGTTTCTTTAATGTACAGCTATGTTTAGGGAAAAGAGAGATGTAGCGGCCCATTTTAATCAAGCTAAGTAAACACTGATTCTTAAGCACAGATAGGAGTACTTAACTAGCTTTACTACAGTGACAATCAGTTAACACTGAGTCTTAAATCTAGACATGGATATTTAACTAGCATTCATGGTGACAACTCTAAAATCTCAGTGGATTAAAAAACAAAATTTATCGTCATCCTTATTAAATAGGCTACATTTCAGCTGAGACTATGAACCGAGTTCAGCCCTGTTCCCCATAATTCCATGTTCCAAGGACTAAGCTAAAAAAACAACCATTTGTTAGCGCATTGTTAGGGCAGGCAGAAGTAACCAGAGCCGCAGTAAAATAGTCACAATGTCTCCTAAAACCCCTACCTGGGATTGACACACTGATTCCCACGCACAAAGATCAAGTAAGAGGTGTGGTTGAATTTGACAAAGGGCCGTAGAAGTCCACTCTAGTTTCAGGAAGGCAGTATATGTAACTGAGAAAATATACTCT